TGAAGGCCACCTGCTGGAACTAAATTCACTGCTTCTAACACTGGGCTCCCAGACAGAAGGGGCTCCAGATGCTTGTTCTAAGCTCTAGTGTCCCTTCAAGGCCTAGGGCCATTGGGTGGGCATTGGGTTCTGCCCATCACTCCATTGAGGAATCAGCCATTGGCAACCTATAGGGAAGCATCCTACTGCACACCAGATCCTAGAATGTGCATGTGGGTGAGATCTTTGCCCCTGACTCGTGCCCATGACACCTCTCATTTTCTAACTCATGATGGCATCATTTTTGCATTCATCCCCTAGTCTTTGTCCACCCGAGCGATCACATAGAGGTCCAAAGAAGATACCATTTACTTTCTGCATTCCTGAAAGGCTGCCTTTATTTACATGCTGATGTTCACCACAGCCATTCCATTAGCAGGGAATACTACGAATGGTTAGGAAGAGACAAACCCTGTGTCACCCAGAGAACCACCAGCTCCAGCTCTAGGACCATAATTGTTTTCCCCTTGCCCATCCCCTGGAGGTACATTCTTTATAATAGGGAGACTAGTCCAGAATGGTTCTCCTGAGAGCCTCAACGGATCTTCCGTACTCCTTTCTTGATCACTTCCCACCATCACCAACCTTAAGCACAGAGAAGAGGATGAAGGGGGCAAGTTGCAATTAATTTTTCTTTGAGGAGAACCCAGAGGAGGATAAGGACATGTCAGATGTGGTGGAAACTGTGTTTCTTGGGAAGGATTCAATAGTGGAAGTACTTTGGTGTTGTGTTTCAGGATGAAGGACCTCTATGGAGGAAATTGTTGCTTCATTTGGCGTCAAAGCAGGCAATGCAGTTTGAAGGGTGGGTTCTCTGGTGGCCTCCCAGGTGGGTGCTAGGATGGATTCCAAGGCCTCGGAGGGTATTAGTTGTCTAACATCATCCTTTGCAGGCATCAGTGATTTTAGGGGTTCATTGTCTGGCTCTGGTTTACTGTCTATCTTCTTGGGGGCTACTAAAAACTGACGAGGGCCTGGGTAGTTGCTAATGCTGTTGGGTAAAGGTGGGTAGATGGCTTTCCGAGTCCAAGGGCTTTCCGAAACTCTGGAGGGAGGCTCAATGGATAAATTCGAAGCTTTTTGATTCTCACTTTTTCCCATTTCGAGGCCTATACTCTCAGTATCTGTGGGACAGAAAAGACAAAAATGCAGATGCCTCAAATGTCACTTTTCCCATCTTAACCATTCATGCGGTGAAATCTTTAAAATGTTAGTCCCTCACTTACCATCTCATATTCTTTCCCTCTAGTTCTTGCCCTGCCCCAAACTTTGTGCAGACTTTATCATGGTCCTCCAATTCAGCATAGTGCTGGAGTTTAAGAGTCTATTGTGTGAGGTTCTAGCTCCCCATGAAAACCTTCAAAAGACAGTGACTAACGTTTACTTAAAGTTCACGCATTTCACAACTATTGCTTCTAAATCAGTTTGAATAGGAAAATGAACACATCCTCTATTAGAATGGGGGCTTTTTAAGGTCAGAGACTTTGTCTTACTTACTACTACATACAAAGTGCTCAGAAGTGTCTATCAAATAGTCAGTGCTCAAAAAATTAATTTTTTTCTGACTGATAGGAAAAATAGATGGATACTTCTAGTAATGGAGCTTGCCTCTTACTTAAGACAAATTAAAAACTGTATAACATACAAAGCCAAGAAAACACCTTAAATATTTATTCTTAAATATTTGGTTAACCAATGAAACTCTCTGGGCTTGAACTTTTCTTGTGGTGATGTTTCTTGATATACAAATTGATTGTGATAGTGGGCTATTAAAATTTTCTATTTCTTCTCTCTGTTCTGGCAAGTTGTGTATTTCAAGGAATGTGTCTACTTCATTTGTCAAATTTAATGGCATAAAAATGTTCATAATTTTCCTTTTTACATCTAGGATATAGAGACATTCCCTGTTTCATTCATTATTCATCATATTGGCAATTTCTCTCTCTTTCCTTTTCTCCCATCCTCCCTCCCTCTCTGTCTCATCTTGCTAAGAGCTTATCAATTTATTTTTTTTCAAAGAAACAACTTTTTTTTTCATTCTCTATTGTTTATGTCTTTTCAATTTCATTGATTGCTGATATCTTTATTACTTCCTTCCTTTTCCTTAGGCAAAATTTACTTTTTTTTAGATTCTTAAGGTAGAAACTTAATATTAAACCTTTCTTCCTTCTAACTTTTAAAGTAACAAATTCCCCTCTAAGTCCTATGTTAGCTGTACTCCAAAAATTTTGATGTATATACATTATCCTTTAATTTAAAATATTTTCTCATTTCCCTTGTGATTTATCCCTTGATCAACAGGATATTTAGAAATACATTAATTTCCAACATTTAGAAGTTTAGCTAGATATTAATGTTCATTTCTTATTTAATTTTGTCATCATAGGACATACCCTTTAAGATTTCAGTCATTTGAAATTTATTTACTGAAACGTGTTTTATGGCTTGTCATGTGGTCTATTTTGGCAAATATGCCATGTCGCGTACATTAGAAAATATTGTATATACTGCAGTTGTTGGGCATACTGTTTTATGTCAGTCAGGTCAAGGTAGTTGTTCAGACACCTACATCCTTTCTGATTATATTTTTTTGTGTTTAGTTGCTCTATAAGGTACTGAGAGAGGAATGTTAAAATTTCCAGCTCTAATCTCTCTTTCATTCAGTTTTTATTTAATCAGTCTTGAAGCTGTTATTAAAGTACATACACAGTTATAATTATAACATTTTTATCTTCTTGATATATTGACCTTTTCACCATTATGAAATCTTTGTTTCCAGTAATACTCTATGCTTTGAAATCCGTATTTTCAGATGTTATTTCTATGTTGATTGTTTACATGGCATATCATTTTCCCAGAGTTCAACTTAATCTATTTGTACTTTTGTATTTTAAATATTCTTTTGTAGACATCATATGGTTGAGTCTTCTTTTTTTCTATCTAATCTGATAATCTATATTTGAGTATTTGGTGCATTTATATTTAATGTAATTAATAAATTGGTTGGATTCAGGACTACCATATTTGTTTTTTCTGTTATTTTGCTTCTTTTGTTCTCCTTTTCCTGAATCCTTCGGCTATAAGAGAGATTATCCTGCTGGCCTTGAAGAAGGAAGCTGTCATGTTGTGAGAGGGCCATATGGCTAGAACCTGAAGGTGAATACTAGTTGCTCAGAGCCAAATCCTGCTAACAGTGATCGAGAAAACAGGGAAAACTTCAGTCCCACATGATAAAAAAAACTAAATTCTGCCAACAATCTGTGAGCTTGGAAGGGATGCTAAGATTCAGATGAGACTGTAGCCCAGACCAGCACCTTGATTTTAGCCTAGTGAGACTCTACGCAGAGGACCCAGCTAACCCATCCCTGGACCATAGTTCATGAAACTGTGAGATGATAAATTTATATTGTTTTAAGCTGCTAGTTTTGTTGTCACTTTTACACAGCAATAAAAACTAATATACACGGCAATAGTATCTATCCAAATGAAACACAAAAATTAAGTAGGCTAAAAATCATAATAAACAGAGTCTAAGTAACCTATGGGATATATCAAAATATCTAACATATATGAAATTAGAATCCCAGCAAGAGGGTAGAGGTAGAAAAGTATTTGAAAAAATAAAAACTAAAAATTTGTCCAATCTGATGAAAATTATACTCTGATCTAAGCAGTTCAGCGAAGCCCAAGCACAATTAACACACACACACACACATACACATACACACACACACACAACAGTCATATGCACCAAGGTAAACTCCATTCAAATTACTGAAAACCAGTAATAAAAGGAACAATCTTAAAAAGCAGTCAGAGTGATGTCAGAAACGTGGCAGAGTGAGAGACATCCCCAGATCTCTCTCCTTGAAACAACAATAAGTTGAACATATAAAACAACAAAAAACACCCAAACTGCACACTAGCACGTCTCAGCATGGAATCTGCGCATAAGAACTACCACAGGACAGAACTCTGGGTGTCAGGTGGCGAAATGGGAGAAACAAAGAAGGTACCTCTCGCAGCCGAGCTCCTTGTATAAAGAGGGGGAGGGGAGAAGGTGCAGTGATTTTTCTGAACAGCCCTGCCTTAGAGAGCTGTGAGCTACACGCAGCCAGCGGCAGTGCCCAGATATCAGGACAGAAAGCAAAGAAGCGGGAATGGCAGAGGCAGAGAAACGACAGTTGATTTTTACCAGTCGGGGTTGGAAAACTGAGGCTGAGCTGCAGCTCTCATCACCCAACTCAGAGGGGCCCTCCCTGCACTTCCTCCGAAACAACGCCGTGGAGCTCCAGGGGAATCTGTGCAAATGCTACAGAAACTGTCGCTAACACTGACAGGGACTGAGACTGAGGGCAGCAAGCATGACTGAATATCAATTAGAAAAAAAAAAGCATTATTAAGACTTTATTGATGTGGTTCTGAGAGGAGGGAAAAAAATGGCATAGATGATAGAGGCTCTGTTTATTCCTCTGGTGACCACATCAAAGTTGCGACTGAAACAAGGACAAAGCAGCAAGGAAAAATTGCCTGGGATCTAGATGAACAAGTCATACAACTAGAGAGAAATCCAAGAAATCCTGCAACAGCAGAAGGTACGACAGGGCAAGGACACGGGGCTGCCTGGTCTCCCACGGCTGAGTGAGACGGAGGCTGCGGCATGCCATTGGCAGTGGCAGATACCTCTTTTAAAAGTAAAGGGACCACATCGCGAGCAGATTTTTGCGGTGACAGACCTGCTCACTGTGAGCACCAGTGCTGATTCGGCTGCATGCAGGGGGCACCAGGGACTCATAGGGAGACATTGTGGGAGTGAGGGCCAAGGCAAGACTTGCTCTGTACAAAAGAGCCGGTGGTATCTATTGTTCCCTGTTGAGCCCTACCCCTTACCAGTGCTCAGACGCTGCACTGCCATAACCCTGATGTCATCAAACTAGATAACAGAGGTCACTCCACCCAGGAGATTTCTTGAAATTCCGCCTCCCCCAACTCGCGGCCCTACCCAAGCCAATCCAGGTATATCCTCAGTGAGTCAGGTGCTCCTTGCTGAGCAGTGCCTAGATTCACACTGGAGGCAGCTGGCTTCAGTTTCTGGTGTAGTCTTTTGAGGCAACTCTA